ATCCATCTTCAGGTGGCTCAAGTTCTGGCCGAAATCCTGGTACTCCGAACGAAGCCCGACCGAGCTCCCATCCTCGCAACCCTAGTCTTGATGGTCTCACAATGGGGCCCCTTCCATCAAACTCCCCTGTAATCCGTGTTATCCACACCGGTGGACAAACCAAGGTCTTGGATATTCGAAGCTGCAGAACACCGGATGAAGTTATTTTGTGTGTCTTGAAGAAACTACAGCTTCCTGAACACCAATACAGAAACTATTGTTTCTATGTTTTGGACGGATTAGATCCAGAACAATCAAATTGCCGGAAGCTCACCGAATCGGAGCTCATGGAGATCTGCGATGGCGTCAACAAGTCCGAGCGAGGTCGCTTGATTCTACGGAAGATCCATGCTGGGGAACCCGATGAAGACGAGCTTCGTCGTGCATCTCAGCTTGCATATGATGAAAGCCAGGCCACCCATCAGCACGCTCTGAATAATTCCAACCAGCGCCAGAAACACAAGATCCAGCAACTTACCGGCGAATCTTGGCATAATATTAAGCAGCCACTTTCTCCGCTGGGCCCTCGACATCGCCCGTCCAACTCCAGTGTTGACGAATCGCAAGGACCGAACAGTGAACGCAATCCTGTGGCTAAACTCCGCTCGTTCTTCGGACAAAGACCCCCAAGTGAGATGATTATTCACGAACTACAATCATTCTTCCCCAGTCATGACCGAGAAAATATTGAGAAGACCATGCGCAGATCTCAACGTCTAAGTCGTGCCGCGAGTCGTATGAGTGTCGTGAGCAACTACAGCGTTGCATCAAGTATGAAAGATGCCCCTCCTCTACCACCATTGCCCCAGTTACCTCCAATTCCCAGCATTGCCGATGCATGGCTCCATGGTCCTGGAGTGGCACAGGCACTACGAGCGCCGCGACCCATCTCAGTCTCTAAGTTCAACCTACCTCAATCCTCATATCGGGATTCTATTGCATCTAGTTCTCTTCAGCCACTTCAGGAAGAGTCACCGACAGAGCCTAACCGAAAGTCGTATGTCTCCTTTGAGAGTGGCTCCGACGAACCAAACCCATTACGCGAGTCGCGCCAGAGCTTTGAGAGTCTCAGTGTCGCCGCCACAGATGGTGGCTCCTTTAACGACCGAATGAGCATGATTGTAGCCGAGGATGGCGAAGAAGAGGATGATGGCCTTGTAGACTTCCTGGCTGGAAATAACTTTGCACCAAAGAACTGGATGAAGGGATCTCTGATTGGCGAGGGTTCTTTCGGAAGCGTTTACCTGGCTCTTCATGCTATTACTGGAGAGCTTATGGCTGTCAAGCAGGTTGAAATTCCATCTGCTACCAAGGGCACAGAGTTTGACCAGCGGAAGAACCTCATGGTCAATGCTCTTAAGCACGAGATCGAGCTGTTGCAAGGCATGTCCCACCCGAACATTGTGCAATATCTTGGTACTGTCGCCGACGACCAGTATCTCAACATTTTCCTGGAGTATGTGCCTGGTGGGTCTATTGCTACAATGCTGAAGCAATACAACACCTTCCAAGAACCCCTTGTCAAGAACTTCGTTCGACAAATCTTGGCCGGTCTGTCATACCTCCACGGCCGGGATATCATCCACCGTGATATCAAGGGTGCCAACATTCTAGTTGACAACAAGGGCGGTGTTAAGATCTCCGATTTCGGTATCTCCAAGCGTGTCGAAGCATCCCACCTCCTCGGGGCCCGCGCCAGTGGCGGCGCTGGTTCTCATATCCACCGCACATCCCTCCAGGGAAGTGTGTACTGGATGGCGCCCGAAGTCGTGCGACAGACCGCGCACACTAAGAAAGCCGATATCTGGAGTTTGGGCTGTCTTGTCGTGGAGATGTTCATTGGTGCCCATCCCTTCCCGGACTGCAGCCAGCTGCAAGCCATTTTCGCTATTGGCAGCAACAAGGCTCGCCCTCCTGCCCCAGACAATGTGAGCCAGGAGGCTGTGGATTTCCTCGACATGACTTTCCACCTAGAGTATGAGCAGCGGCCTAGTGCTGATGAACTGCTCCAGTGCGAGTTCCTGGCTACACCTATCGCATAATCAGCAGTAGCCATTTTCCTTTCCCTTTCTTCTGTGTCTCCCCGATGCATGTATGTAATATGATTTTACGTATGATGGTGATTTGCCCGTCTATTAAACGATTAACTCGGCCATGGGTTCTTTCGCGGTAGTAATTAATGCAACTGGGCAAAGGCCTGTCACCACCTTCCAACCATCCTGTGTACTGTTGTTCGCTGTAAATGTAGATTGAATTTAAGCCAAAGATAGTACACGATTTCGAATAATCACAACGACCATAATGCAGGTCTTCTCTAAAGTTACATGCTGGATATCACAAGACTATCCAAAAGGAGATATAATATAAGACCAAGAGTAGTCACCAGGTAAACCCGATTTAGTTCACAATCTTGCCGTAGAAAGGAATACCCATGGCACTCAGGAGGAGTCGTGCATCCTTGTCAGTTTTGGCGGTAGTGTGGAGTGTGATGTGGCAACCAGGGATCATCTTAGGAGGATACCTATGGAAGCAAGGTTAGCCTTGACACAACATTAGAAACGCGGAGAACACTTACATGTCGTAGTTGATCTCAAGCTCGGGGAACAGAGCAACATTCTCCGGAATCAGACCGAAAGTAATGTTACCACTGCTATCACCACTGGATCCCTTGACACCCTCCCAATCCTTGATGCGAGGCAAGACGACATCAACCAGCTTACCAAGGAAGTGGTGCATATTTTCGCCATACAGCTCAGCCTTAACAGCGACAGAGTCACGGCCAGACGCAATACCCCAAGGAGCAACGTTAGACTTGGACTTGAAAGTCTCAACACGAACATTGGAGATAGCCTGGACAGCAATACCAGCGACGTGCAGCCAAGACGAGTTCCTCTCAGCCGCGGCGTTCTTGACATAACTGTGGATTGTGATACGCTCGATTTCCGGGATGTTGTTGAACTTGATCGGCTTGCGGAGCAGACGCAGGACGTCACCACCACGGGGTCCGCGGAGGACACGGTTCTTGTGGTAAGGCGAGCTGTCGTCCCACTCGCGGAGACGGGCCGATTTAGGGGGAGGCTTGAAGCCTGGTGGTGTGTGCACATAGCACAGGGTCATGATGTCGGGGGCGACGGTTGATTCGTAGGTCTGCCCAGCTCGGGGCGCGGAGAAGGGGCCTGGGACGAACAGCCGGGAGGAGGGGTGGGATGGTGGTGGCGGTTGGTGAGGGTGGAGGGGACCACGGTTGTATTTAGGGGAGCGGAATTGGTATCTGTAATTAAGGGGTCGGGATTAGTTGTTGTTCATTCAATGGGTTCGATGTTGTTTCCATGTTTGCAGATGCGCATGACTGGAGATGTAGTCGGAGGGCTCTTACCGGCCTCGGGGAAGCTGGTTCTTGCGAGCGGCTGCTCGTGCAAGCGGGTCGAATGATGCTGCTGCGCTGTCTGGAACAGTCGTTGACAGAGACGACGCCGATTCCAGCTCGGTCAAGTGGTCCGACAGACGCCTCGCTGGGGCTTCATCGGAGACATTGCGGCGCGATAAAAAGCCTTGAGGGCGAATTGATGGCACTGAGGCACGGGGCAAGGCCCTTGTTAGGTACCTGGATGGCTCTCTGGCAGCCATTCTGTGAAAAATGGGGTGTGATGGAGTGGTGATCTTCCCGGGCCCTTACCAAAAATTGTTCGCGCAGATAATCCCATCACGTGAGCAGCCAGATACCAAAGCCTTACAAAACAGGCACTATATCCACCTGGTTGGTTAACTAGTTAACTACCTATGTACCTTGGATACCTCGGATAGTTGGTCACTCGATCCTGGTCTTGTTCCTTGGTTCATGGCAAATAGTCTCAATGTGGAGTGGTGTAACTGATTACTTTTAATTTTAGGACAGATGCTATCTATATCTGCGAGGCCTTGACCAAATTCCGAAGACCAAACATAGGGCTTGTTCCAGAGGCCATTTACCGCGCTTACTACTTGAGTGAATGAGGTTAATTGACGAGGAATACTCACACAATGCTGAAAATTGGTCTTGGAGTGGTGGTCAAGCAATATTTACGCAGCTGGAATAGACCACTTGTGAGGACCTTTGCTGGACGGCCATTCAAAGGATCAAAAGAGAAAATTTGGCGGTATGAACGATTGTATTCTTTGTAACTATTTGCATATAGGTACTATGTATATAGTTGAAGTGATTATAAAATGAGAGACAATAAATGTGCTATAAGTAGACGTTACTAGGAGCTTATAGGGCTCTATATAAGATCATAGCCCTGTATCCTATCTTCATGGATAAAGAAGCCTTGGACCCTATTCTGGAAGGAACCACACTCTTGTTTTATAGAGGCAGCTACAATTTAGCCACTTATATGGTTGTAATGATTTGAAATTCTAGAAGAATCTAGAGACGAGGATCAGTCTGAATCTGACACCTACTGGACGAAGGTATTACTGATTAAGACGATCCTCCCGAGTTTGCTTGTGGGATGAAGTGATATATGTTGAATATTTTATTATTTCTTACGGTGGATCTGACTCTTACCTATATACCTACACATATTTATATTTCTATTCGAAGTTCTACCACCGCCCTCTTCAGGCGGTGACATTGCCAAGATTAGGGCAAAGGTGAACATTGGCAGCCTAAAGGTCGAGCTCCTGCCTTAGGTGTCTCTTCCCGCTCTGCCCCGCAGATGACCTGGAGGGTTCATCGACTTTCCAAATCACCTGTCTCAGTTGCTTGCTTCTTTTCGACGCGTGTTCATGTCAGGAGAGCTCTACTTATGATGTATTCTACATGCGCTTTTCAAAACCCTATGAAATCCTGCAGCCTTGACTAAGCTCTGAGCTAGTTTACAGGTCTCCTCATCCCCCGCATGTCTCCAATGTTGGGATTTTTCGTTTCAATTTAGAAAGTCTGCTTTTAAGGGTGTTCTCTCTGTTATCCACCCGCAATAATGAGTGGTATCCATCGGTTTCTGACGCGTCGCGACCGGCACAATAAGTTGAATAAGCAAAGCAAAGAAGAGGTATGCACACATAAAACACCTTGATGATACTTCAAACAAGATCTTGCATTGGCTAATGCTACTTCTTAGGCATCTAACATACTTTCACGTCCTCTATTCCATGGAATTTTCAAGTCAGAGACGACTCTGGCAGATAATGATGATCATGAGAAGAAGGTATGGTCCAAGCGCATTACGGTCAGCTTGCACCCATCTAACATTATGTCCACATATAGACCAAAGCCCTTGCTCAACGAATTAAACAACTTGGAATCACTGCTTTAGATGAAGAGCACATCAATTATGCATTGCAAACCACACAAGGCGACACAGAGAAGGCATTCAGCCTACTACTTCTGCTGGAGGACTCCATCGAGGGAATCATCAGGAATTACACACCCAACACCAAGCTCTTAGGTGCAGAAAATCGCCAAGGAGTAACATGCTATCTGGACGCGTTGTTGTTCGCCATGTTTGCGCGCCTCGATTGTTTTGAGGCCATTCTCTATAAATCATTTAATGATGAGCCTCGTCGAAAGCTTGCAATCCTTCTGAGACTGTGGGTGAATCTGCTGCGATCGGGGAATCTCATCACTACAGACATGGTTAGTTATAACACTCAATGTTGTCCTCATCTTCTATGCTGGTATTGACTAGTTGGCTTCAGACAAAACACCTGCAGGATGCCCTAGCAGAGTGTGGTTGGGAAGATGCGGCCAAACTTCAACAACAGGATACTTCAGAAGCATTCACTTTCATTACAGAAAAGTTAGAACTGCCACTCCTGACTTTGAAGATGGACATTTATCATACTGGAAAGGAGGATGAAAGTGACGACCATAAGTTCGTCAATGAGAGGCTTCTCGAAGTTGCCATACCGCCCGAGCCAACTGACGGACACTCACTCACACTGGAAGACTGTCTGGAAGCTTACTTCAATAACATGATTGAAGTGAAACGACACATGGAACGACGCAACACCACTACCTCGATCAGATCGATGGACTCACTCTCCATATCCAAAGGGTCTACCTCACATGTTGAAACAGTGGAGATTGAGACTACGCCCACCATGTCTCGCGTTCAAACAAACACGTCGCGCGTTGAAAAACCAAACCCCTGGTCATCGTTCAGTGAGTTCAGTGAATCCCTCGAGGCAGCTCGGACACCTGGTCGACGTGGTAGTATTGTTCGACAGCGGTTCTTTCCGGATTCAAGTGACGATACGAAGACCAAAGATTCGAATACGGAGAAAGATACTAGTGCAGATCAAGATACTAGTGGGAATACGCAACCACGAAGGGGTTCATACAAGAAGGAAGTAATGATGCCTGCATGGCAATTTTTCAGTTTGATACGTATGTCATCTCCTTCCGCCCTGTTCTTTGGGTTTTGCGTGAACTGAGCTGATCTTGCATAGCGTGGTATACCGATAATACACCAACAAATGATGCGCAAGTTGCAGCACACTTTTCCTCAAAACGGCCGATTCTTGGGATGTGTCTGAAACGGTATTCCTTCTTGCCAGACGGGAGGGCAGTCAGACTCAATACTCATATTGATATACCAACCGAGATCGGCCTGCCTCACTTCATCCAAGATGACAACTTGGATGCGAATGCTCCTATCTTTGGGAGCTTTAAACTCTCTTTGCAGGCTCTGGTTTGCCATAGGGGAAATTCGGTTGACTCGGGGCATTATATTTCCATTGTTCGAGGTACCAATTGCCCCAATACCGGCGCTCCTGTCACCACCGGCCCAGAAGACCCGGAGACATCAAAACACTGGATGCGCTTCGACGACCTTGCAGCAGAACGAGTGACACTGGTTGATATTGATCACGCATTGAAGACCGAATCTCCTTATCTTCTGTTCTACCAAATTCTTCCGATCAGCGAAGATCCCTCTGCACCCAACATTCCAAATGCACCATCGTCTCGGGCGTCAGACGGCAGTACACTAGGGGACCTAACAGATTTCAGCCTCGAAGACCTTGCTTCTGACCGACCAAGTGTTGAAGTCACAGGGCCATGCGAGACTAATGCGCAAACTTTAGCCAACATCGCAAGGCGATCCAGCATAGCATTCTCAGAAACCAGCAATCCGGCTGGTCTTCAGCCACGCTCTATTCCATCCTCATCGCCTAGGCTGGCACCGACGGAAGAAGGAAGCACAAAGGGAATATCCTTTTCGCGCCGTGGGTCTCGATCGGCCAGGAGCAATCCCGGAAGCCGTACTGGCAGCCAAACGGGTGAAAATAGAATCAGTGCCACTTTTTCACGCTTTGCTGAACGGCTTAGTCGGGATAAAATTAGCAATGACGGATTTACGGAGGGAAATGAAGGGGATGAGTCTGCATTAGAGATTGATGACACTGTGGATGATATGAAACTTGGGCCAGCTGCCCTTGAGAGCAAGGAAAAGCGTGGAAGAGGCCGAACGAAGGATCGCGAGAGGAATAAAGGGAAGTCAAAGGAGAAATCCAAGGAGAAGAACAGGAAATTGGATCGGGAATGTGCAGTGATGTGAGCCAGGCTGGTGATGCCTTTTTTTTTTTAGATACCCAGTCTAGCTGTTGCATGTTTCACAAACGATGATACCCATGATGTATGAGCGGAGTGACTTTGGTGTTTTTAATTTAGCTTGAAATCAGTAGGTACCTACAATTGTGTCTCTTTTGCTGTGTTATAGATCTGCCTAGAGCACTCGTATGGATGTAGTTCTGATTTGGTGATCCGAGGTCTTGGCCTAAGGTGTCAAGACACTAGGGCCTCCGCATTCCTCGAACCTCAAGAGCCCATTCCGTCCTGCATCAATTCGCAAAACCTTCGACTTGCCTCAACTCTTGTATGAGCGGCATGAGATAGCGCCCCTACAGCTAGCGCACCATGGCGCTGGACGGATCCAGCAGTTATGTTGCTCAGAGCAACTTAATGGAGCCACCGAGCTCTTCCCTCCCCATGTTCGATGTTGAACGTGTGCAATTGGCCTTCTCCGTCGCTGCGGACTTCGTTGCAGCGCAAGTTGCGAATAATGTGCTTGTGCTAGCCTTATCAACTAATCGCATTCTCCGAATCGATCTTGATTCCCCTGAAGATGTCGAAGGTAGGCTTCCGGACCTTCCCCGCAGCAAATGCCAGCCACAACATGCTCTAACCGTGCTCATGAACAACAGATATCGATCTCCCTAAGAAATCCTCGGAAGTTGGAGTGATTCGGCGCATGTTCCTCGATCCGTCCGCTTCTCATTTGATTATCACCACAACCCTCGGCGAAAACTACTATCTCCATGCCCAGTCACCGTCGCGACAACCGAAGCCCCTGTCACGATTAAAAGGCGTATCAATCGAAAGCGTTGCTTGGAATCCCTCTTTACCCACCGCCTCTACTCGCGAGATTCTCATTGGGGCCACTGATGGCAATGTCTACGAGACTTATATTGAACCCTCCAGCTACCGGCAGGAGAAGTATACCACCCCGGTCTACCAGGTGCCAGGTGCCTCTCCGGTAGTTGGAATATCGGCGGAACCGGTATCCTCCAAGACTGATCAAAGAAGGGTAATTGTGGCAACCTATGGGAAGCTACTGCATTTTATTGGCCGGACAGGAGTCTCAAGGCATGGAAGGGAAAGCGGCGTGTATTTGGAGCTTTTCCAGCGCGAGATGCCAACGACCCACGAAGTTACAACCCCATCTGCCTCTGCGCCGTCTTCTCTAGTCATCTCGCCCACGATTTCAGAGAGCTACCAGGCCGAGGGGTATACCGAAAGGCAGTTTGCGTGGCTCAGTTCTGAGGGGATATACCATGGCCCTCTTACGTCGGAGTCTCCATTCAAGACCGCAAATATGCTTGCGCGCTCGGTGTTTCCAGCTTCGGAGTCACCGCGAGGAGGGCGGAAGTTGATACAAGACCCCATTTCTGCTATGACTCTTTCACAGTGGCATGTCCTGGCACTTGTTGGGGGCAGAGTGGTCGCAGTCAATCGTCTCAGTCAGGAAGTTGTCCACGATCAACCTGTTTTGGAATTTGGGCAAAGCGCGCTGGGTCTCTTGACAGATCTCACCAAAAACACATATTGGCTCTTCACCAGCCAGGCCATTTTTGAAGTTGTAGCAGGTGATGAGGATAGAGATGTCTGGAAAATCTTTTTGAAGGAGCAAAAGTTCGATGAGGCCCTTCAGTATGCCCGGGGTGCTTCCCAGCGAGATGCTGTTATGACTGCGTCGGGTGATTTCCTGGCAGGCAAGGGTAACTTCCTCGAGGCAGCCAAAGTATGGGGCAAGAGCAGCAAAGGGTTCGAGGAGGTTTGCCTTACCATGATTGATCATAAAGAGCATGATGCTTTGCGGAACTACCTCCTCTCACAGCTGGCAACATACAAGAAGGCCTCGCTTATGCAAAGAATAATGGTTGCGAGCTGGCTTGTGGAACTGTTCATGTCAAAGTTGAATTCCCTCGATGACAATATCGCCACCAAAGCTGAATTGGCAGAAGGCACAAGCCCTGGAGAAATCAAGGATCAGCTTGGCAGCATCCGAGCTGATTTCCAAGAGTTTGTGAACAGCTACAAAGCAGACTTGGACAAGAAAACAGTATACGACATTATCAGCAGCCACGGGCGGGAGGAAGAATTGCTGTTCTTCGCAACAGCCACGAATGATTATAACTATGTTCTATCGTACTGGATTCAGCGCGAGAAATGGCTGGAAGCCTTGAAGGTTTTGCAGCGGCAAAGTGAAGCCGATGTGTTCTACAAATACAGCAGTGTGCTGATGACACACAAGCCGACAGACCTGGTTGATATCCTGATGCGACAGACAAACCTTGATCCTGAGAGACTGATCCCCGCGTTGTTGAATTACAACAAATCTGCCAGCGTCTCCTCCCTCAACCAGAACCAAGCCGTCCGATATCTGAACTTCATCATTGTCAACCACCCAAATCCATCCGCAGCGGTCCACAACACCCTTATTTCAATCCATGCTTCCAGCCCTTCCCCATCTGAGGCTGGGCTGCTTACTTATCTCCAATCGCAACCGTCATCCCCCCCTCCATACGATGCAGACTTCGCACTTCGCCTGTGCATTCAAAATCAACGAATCCAGTCATGCATTCACATCTACAGCACAATGGGACAGTATCTACAAGCTGTAGAGCTAGCCCTGGAGCACAAAGACATAGAACTCGCCGCGATCGTCGCAGACCGCCCTGAGGGCAACGACAAGCTCCGCAAGAAACTATGGCTCCTCGTTGCTGAGAAAAAGATCCGCCAACCGGGCACGGGCATCAAAGAAGCAATCGAATTCCTACGCCGCTGCGAGCTGCTCCGCATCGAGGACTTGATCCCATTCTTCCCCGATTTTGTCGTCATCGACGACTTCAAGGATGAGATTTGTACTGCGTTGGAGGACTACTCGCGCCACATCGACTCGCTCCGCCAGGAAATGGATAACTCAGCCCTGACAGCCCGCCAAATCCGCGGTGAAATTTCCGGTCTCGATACTCGCTACGCCATCGTTGAACCGGGTGAGAGGTGCTGGATCTGCTCGCTACCTGTTCTCAGCCGTCAGTTCTTCGTCTTTCCCTGCCAGCATGCTTTCCACAGTGACTGTCTGGGTAGGGAAGTCTTGGACGGCGCTGGTGGTAAGAAAAAGTATATTCGGGATCTGCAGACGCAGCTCAGCAGTGGTGATATCTCTTCCTCGCGGCGTGAGGAGATCGTTAAGGAATTAGATGGGCTAGTCGCTGAAGCTTGGTATGTATCTTCTCTATTGACTTATTATATCTCACTAACCATAATTCTTCGCAGTATCCTCTGCGGTGACCATGCCATCAAACAAATTGATAAACCGTTCATCGCAAAGTCGGAGACGGCCGAGGATTGGGCTCTCTGATGTGCATCTCCCATGTTCGCCATGGCATGAGGCGCCGTCTAATATTTTTTTCGTGTGGTGCCCAGGGAATATTCCTGCAAGGACACATTTGTTTTCAGTCTCGCTTTTTGTTTTTCGCAATACCCTTCCTTGTCTTAAGCAGGTGCTACATGATAAATGAGGCATAGCCCTCATATATAGACATAGCTATACTGAATGTGATTCGGATCCAAATATTAATTTGTACACACTTAAAAGAGATACAACATGCGTAAATACAGCAAATACACTGTGAAGAATATACCCAACTCCATGCGCAAATAAACAAATTCCCACAAACGTAGTTGGAAAGGAAATAGGGAACGTAGAATATACCTCCCCCATAAAGTGCAGAATACCTAGTTCTCAGGCCAAAGATACCGCAACAGTTCCAGATCCTGTGCAACGGCCGGACTGTGCGGTGCACAGTCCTCCAAAAATCCCAACATCTCCTCATTCCAGTGTTCCCAGCCATCAGGCAGTGTCTCACGGAGACGGGCACTTGGTGAATGGGCTATGCAATAGAAGAGCAGGATTTGGCCAAAGAACCTGGTACGAAAAAGAGTCAGTCAAACTAGTTCAAACACATAGTGATATATGTATGCAAAGGGAATTGTAGAAGGGATAACTCACTGCGAGCAAAAGGCAAATTTAATCGGAATGCAGCTCTTCATTTTCCGGAAGATGCCCTGAGTGATCGGCCAGTCCATTGCATTCTGGAGACCGCTTTGCACTTGCACAAAGTCTTCATCTGTTAGAAGATGCGGGATTCGGAGAGCTTTGTATAGATATGGGCGGCCGATGTGGAAGCGTGCGATCATGTGTCGGCCTTTCAGCATGGCGTCTGTTACTGCTATGGCTGGGGAGAGGGGTTGGTTCGGATCTGTATGTCTTGGTCTTGGGGAGGAGAGGTGCGCTGGAGATGCTATTGAGGCGGATGGCGATGGGTGGATGGAGGGGGTTGCTGGGGTTGGGTGAGAAGAGTAGGGGGCGTTGTTGAACTGGATTGTTGTTGGGAGGTTCGTGCGCCATTGTTCTAGTTGGTGGTGCAGCTCTGTGTTTATTGCCGGGAGGGGGAAGGTTCCTGAGTCCGCTAGATGGAGGATGGATGTTAGAGGATGAAGCTTGGCTTTAATTTTGGTTGTCAGGATAACTCACAGTAAAAGTAGAGGGAATGGCGGATCCGCGTGAGGATGATGCGGTGGGCTACCTGAGCCAGGAAATGATATTGGAAGTATGAGTCGTCAACTACGCCCGATGAGTTGAAACGGGTTGAGGCGTAGCCGGTTGTTTCGAAGCCGATAAATTTGGGAATTGGGACTTGTTCTTCGAGACGAGAGAGACCGCTTGATGGGAGGTGCAGCTCTTGTACGAGAATGGTCTCGTTCATTAAACAGTTCCAGTATACACGGGATTTCATATCGCCTTCCCACTCGTCGAAATTCACATTATGGCTATATACGAGTCAGTATCATCATCTTGAGATGTATAGGGCAGGACTCACTTCGTCAACATTGATAGACAGCAAGTAGCAGCGCGAGAAATCATTGTCCAAGAATCCATCGGACGAGGGATCTGGCTATAATATACACTATAGAAGATGAGTATCAATCTGC